TGTAATATCTAGTCGGAAACAGCAGGGTCAGAAGATCCAAGTGCATTCAAGAATGTAAGGCTCACTCTCAATTATTCACATGATCATGTAACACACAGGCTCGACAAAGCGAATTGTAATACCAAAGTATCTAACATGCTTCTGGAGACTTGACCTGACAATGTTTGCTGTTCTGAGTTCTCATTTCTCTCAGTCTCGCGTCACGTTGTTGCATGGGATAGGATCAAGTCAGCAGTCAAATTTGGTTTTTACATAAAAAATAGAAAGCCCCTCAAAAAATCTTGTCAGTTGTCATTGATGCCCAGTTACTCATCCTCGCTCTCTAGAGTCAAAGTAACTCAGTTGCCATTTATTTTCTTAGTTTCTATTGTCAAATTCAATTGCCAATTGGAGTTTCAAGTTTGGACTTGGACTCTCGGAATTTCAGAGTCTTGACTTTTTAGTTTTTTGTAGAAAATATTTTGTGACAGCATCTAATGACCAATAGGAATGTACGGTTTTGATACCTGAGAAAATCGCTTGTTGCAGCAGAGAAACCCGATCTACTGGCTCATGTAGCGCTTGTTGTAGAGTGTAGACTAACTATAACTGAGTAGCTCAACTGACAATCTGACACTGGAGACGTCACACTCTTGGCAGTTGGTACTGCCGCAAAGCGGCAATTTCAAGTTATGATATTAGCACATTGTGTTAGTAAATCTGAATTTTTAATAACTGCAAGGTGCTACCTCTAGTATTTAAAGGCTTCTATCGTTTGGCGAAATATCAGTTTAAAATTTATACTACACAACAACAACCAAAACAAATACATATCGTGCAAATATGGTTAACATGTAAGTAATTCCCCAAGAGAAACAGTCTTGCTTTCCTAACCCTCTGAACATAGATCTAAAGATGCAAAGCGTTGTAGCACCCGGTGCTGACTGGGGATCGTCTGCTCATCGATTCCCAAACTATGTGGACGGTGAAGCCACGTGGCCCGCTCAGTTACTAGCTGACACATCTGGTCGTTGTACCACATACGAGAGCTTCCAAACTACAGTTGCCGAGAATCCTGATCGACCATATCTAGGCGAACGCAAGGTTGTGCACAATAAAGATGGTAGCACAAGCGTCGGAGATTACGAATTCGTGAATTTCAAAGAGGCAAGCGATACTGCTACGCTGATCGGCTCTGGACTAAAAAGCCTTGGTATTAGGAAAAACCAGACCGTGGGATTATACTCCAAAAATCGAATGGAATGGACGTTGACGGATCACGCTTTGTCGTCATACACCCTGCCATCAGTGGCAATCTACGATACACTTGATCCTGATTCTGTACAATATGTTATGGAGCATAGCGAGATGATAGCTGCTTTCTTTGAGAAAATTCGTCTTGAGTCCGTTCTTACAGCCATTGGAAAGGGTCTACCAGATCTCAAGTACGCCATTTGCTTCGATGTTGTCACATCTGAGGACAAGGCTAGAATCACGAAAGCTGGCGTTGAGCTACTCAACCTGTGCGAACTAAAGGATATGGGCGTGGCGAATGTGTCCCCACACGATCCTCCCACTGCATCGGATGTTGCGGTACTCATGTACACATCCGGCACTACAGGAAACCCAAAAGGTGTGCAAATCACCCACAACAACTTGATGGCGGATGTAGTTTCACTTCAGAAACGTTTGCATGTAAGTAACCAAGATGTGCACTTTTCGTTCCTTCCCTTGGCTCACATCTTTGAACGAGTGATACAAGCGTTATGCGTTAGCCGGGGATGTAGCATAGGTTTCTATCAAGGTAAACTACCCGAGCTGATGCTGGATATCCAGACCTTGAAGCCTACTTTCTTCATCGCCGTGCCTCGTATTCTTTCACGCATCTACGACAAGATCAACCAAGGTGTTAAGGCTGGGGTCCTTATGACATGCGTCTCGCAGCGTTGGAGCGCGGAGAGGACACCCCTATGCTTAATGAAAAGGTCTTTGATCGCATGGGCTTGGCACTTGGTGGACGTGTCAAATGGATCCTCACCGGGTCAGCGCCTCTAGGATCGAGTTTCTACGAGTCTGTGTGTGTCCAGTTGTCATGGTGGGCTATGGCTTGACCGAGACAACAGCAGGTGCTACTCTCACCCATAACAACGATATGAAACTCGGTCATGTGGGATCACCGATGGCCTCCAATGAAGTGAAGCTTGTCAGCATTCCCGAGATGAGCTACATGACTACTGATGAGCGTCATCGTGGTGAAGTGTGCGTCAGGGGTACCAACGTGTTTAGTTCGTACTTGAAAAATCCCGAGAAAGATATCGATGAGGAGGGCTGGTTCCACACTGGTGATGTAGGCCGTTGAAATGCCGACGGCACCTTATCCATCATTGATCGCCAGAAGTCTATATTCAAGCTGTCCCAGGGCGAGTATTTGGCCGCTGAGAACCTCGAGGCCATGTACGGCAAGTGCGACCATATTGCACAGGTGTTTGTAACCGGTGACTCATTCCACGCATACCCTGTGGCCGTGGTTGTACCCGATGCCGAGATGATTGTTGCTTGGGCTAAGGAAAACAACCTTTCTGGCGATGCTAGGAGTATTGCTCGACCAGCCGAGTTGAAGGCCATGCTGGCTGCGGAGGTACTTGACATGCACAAGGAATGTAAGCTTAAAGGTTTCAAAAAGCTTCGAGACTTCATCGTAGAGCCAGAGGCTTTCAGTATTGACAATGAACTGCTTACACCCACCTTCAAGCTGAAGCGCGTGAACGCAACCAAAAAGTACCAGGATCAAATCACTGAGTTATACGATGACATCGAGAGCCGTCAATAGTTGACAAAGGAAGATTCCAATTCGGCTTAATGTATTTAGATATAACGGTTGTACCGTCAGCAAGTAGATCACAGAAACAAATCTTCATGAACACTAGTCTAAGACTGAAACAAACTTGTGAATACTATGATTTATAACACTAATACAAGAATGTATCGCGAGCACTAGCTTGAAAAGTATAATAAGATA